TGTACATAAACGCAGGTGAAAGATAATAAGATTTAGATTTGTTTTTTAACTAGGAGCCGATTGTTCAGGGTAATGTGGCCTAGCAGCTTGGTATTTTTTTCTCTCTCTTGTTCACTCTGATTTGGTATTCTATTTCAGAGATTACTTGTAGCTCCATCATCAATAATTTGGGACTCGGGAGATTTCCAGTTTCCCCATCCTTCAAAAAAAGCGAGTTTTTCATTTTTGAGGTATGGTAAAATATCACTGGACACACAGCTCATGGTGTGTCTGACTGAAGAACACACAGACTAAGGCAAGAAAAGCACAAGGCTATACTGACTGAATACATAAAATCATTCACTTTGTTTTAGCTGCAGCCCAAATTGTATTTATGTGCATTTGTAAATATGTAATACTTTATTAAATCAAGCTTTTCCCTGTTTATAATAAGTGCTGTTGTTCTGTATCCCCCCTCATGTATCATCATGTCTTATATCTAATTAGAAAAGATGCAAAATAGTCCATTAAACTAACACTTCTTAACTCTAAGAGTCCTAAGCCTGAAGTCCGACTGAACACTTTGAAGAAGGTGTTGGTTTCCACTTTATGGCATTAACATTTGTAGTGTCAGAAGTTGTGTGTGAAGCATGAGGCCACACTCAACTCGACTCCTAAGGATTGTGTTTTTGTTATTAAAACATTTTATTTTATGAAAGATCAGACAGCCAGAAAATAGAAAATAAAAATTAGAATTGACATTTATATCTAGATTAATCAAAAAATCATGAGAAATTGATTCAAAAGGTGCCAAGGTTCACATCTGAAAGATTAATTGCAATAATTTCATGAGCGTCAGCAGCTGCAGAGCGAGATTTTGAAATTGAGGACGCACCCACCGTCTTTTGAATTGTAGTTGTGGAAGCAGTTTAGCTTCTCCAAGACAGATAATGAAAGAGGTGAGAAGATAACAGACGAGACAAAAACTATGTGCAAATATCACAAGAAGACAGAGAACTACACAAATATACAACCAACATGATGCAGCATTTAATCTACACCACAACGAGAAGCTCCAATCACCTCCTCTTGTTGAGAGAGAAAAACATGAAAAGGCCAAACCACACTGACAAATGGGTAGCAGCCCCTAAAGGAATCTGTTTCAGCCCTGATATAAAGGCAAAAGGTGTCATTATATCAATCAATCAATCAAATTTTATTTATATAGCACCTTTCAGACAAATTAAATTGCAGTTCAAAGTGTTTTACAAGAGTCCAGAAAAGTTGTTGACGAAAAAGTAGTTTATAAAATCATTGCAGAGACTAATGCACACCAATAAGAATTAAAAAAATATGTATAATATGAAAAAATAAAATACGACAAATAAAAGCAATAAGCTCATGTTTCTCCTGTGTGCATGTTTCTGGAGATCCTGCTGATCATTGCAGAGTTGAAACTATATTTTCAAAGCTTTGAAAATAAGACTTACATTTGAGTTAATCGGAATAATCATTAACTTCATAAAGTTGCTCGGTAATGCAGGAGTGTTGTATCGATATTAACCTGCAGAGATGAGTTTGCAGAATAAAAAAAAGTCATCAAACATGCACACACACATTCACAGAACTAATAATGTCTCCTCATAATCACCGTCCATGACTCAGTGTGTCCATATCTAATAACTAATGTGTCCTGCAGTATATTAACATCAGATCCACTGAGAGCCCCCGTCCCCCCCAGCTGTTGACACAGCAGGAGCCTCATCTCCTTTCCTCCAACACTGACCCTGAGTCAGCCTTATGTAACGTCTGCTCTTTACTATGCTGTCCTTTTATAGCTCATGCAGCACCTTGATCAGCACTGTGTTCTTTCTGTAACATCTCTCCATCTTTTTTTCTATTTCCGTATCCGTCTTTCTCACGCAATGGCCGACTCAATTTTTCTCTCCTCTGCTCAGTCGCTCTCCTCCAGCTCGCTCACTGATGCTGATTGTTGCTGTAGTGCACTGGAAATGTCCAAGGTGGCTATTCTGAGCAAATTGCTTTGTGTTGCTGGAGGGACCGAATGAACTGGACTGGGGAGGCAGACTCGGGCCTCCATAGTTTGTGGGGGAAAGTAATGATGGAGGCTTCTAATGGACCTTGCTGTGAGGCTCCAGTTTTTGCTGTTACAGCACAGAAATAACAATAACATGATAGTATAATGTGTTAAACACTGTTTAAAGTTGTAAAATCATCTTAAAGTTCACATTGATTTTTTTTTCTCCATCATCAGATCTGGATGCTTTCCCAGTACCAGATCTGAGCCAGAATTTATCAAGTTTCTCAGAGACAGAAAAATCAATCCTCGCTGACTGAGACTGACCAAAATTGGATTTTTGAGACTGTTACAAATGTTGGAGGACGAAATTTTATGATGACCAATATGGCTGTTGATATATAGATACTGTTTGAGCTGGAGTGAAATTAGAGCTTTCCTGTGGGAATTTTGAACAGATGTTGCGCTGATATGATCATAAAAAAGGTCAGAGGGCTACTTTCTGAAACAAATGACGTTATGAAAGAATGTGCACCTTATATCAATGCTTTATATTCCCGCTGTTGAGATTATTAGTATCCAGCGGTGGCTGAACATGCACGGCAGGACAAACCATGTGATGATGCCACAGAGAATTTTTCTGGATTAAATATTCTTTAAAAAGTTTCCCTATCCCGTCATATTGGACAAAATATACACAGACACTAATACTTCCATGAGTGCGGCTGTGGCTCAGTGGTAAAATAGTCAACACTCAACCGGAAGGTTGCGGGTTCGATCTCCAGCTCCTGCAGGCACATGTCCGATGTGTCCTTTGGGCAAGACACTTAACCTCAAGTTGCTCCCGCTGCTTCATCAGCCTCCAGCATCAGTGTGTGAATGGGTAGGTGTGACATGAAAAAAACATTTTGAGCAGTCAGAAGACTAGAAAAGTGTTGAACAACCTTAAGTCCATTTACCATTTACCATATACCCATATAAAAGTTGGCCAAAATATCTGTCAGGCTAACCTTCTGACTGGCCAAACATGGTTAGAATTACCCATTTGTGGGCCTACTTGTTCAGAGTAAAGGCTTTTGATCTTTTTTTTTTTTTTTTTAATAAGGAAATGCCAAACATGGTTAGAATTACCCATTTGTGGGCCTACTTGTTCAGAGTAAAGGCTTTTGATCTTTTTTTTTTTTTTTTTAATAAGGAAATGTATTTCTACTGAAATGTTAGAAGAAGCCCAGAAATAATGATCATACTGAGATGATGCAAGAGCAGCAATAACAAGAAGGTTACTGAAAAACGGTTTTGAAACTAAATAATGTTTGACACTGACCTTGTACCTGTCCCTGCAGAAACAACAATGATAAAGGTGCTCTTTATTGTTAAATGATAAATGAACAGCTCTAGAACCAATATGATTTGATCAGTGAAAACCATCCTGGCATGCAACTAATCAAAATATTGTCAACCTAATTTCACTAGGGTAAATATGTGTGTTGGTTATTTAAGTATCATTGTCGATTTTGTATTTTCTTAATAGTTTGAATATACAATTTGGAAAGAAGGGTGAATTGTAACAAAATATCTTCAAATTGTATGCTCCATTTCTCAGTATCAATTTTTTAAACTTTATAAATATTTCCTCTCACTCGGACTCGTAAGATAAAAGAGTTAAAGGAGAAAACACTGTGTAGGAGAAGACTCCTGTTTAGTGGAGAGGTTTTGCAACAAGTAGTACAAGGGATTTTAATTGACTTTCTCTGGTGAGACCTGAGCTTAAACTTAATGAGAATTCTTTACTTTTCCCTCACTAGCTTCGATAAGTATACCTTAAGAATAAAAACATTGTCTTTAATCAGATAACATAAGATGTTAAGAGGGACAAAAGAGGGACATTTGTCTTGTCCTGCAGTTATAAGAGATTTAAAAAGTACATAAATATAGATCATATAAAGCATACATACACATAGAAACACCTTCCTGCAGCAGTGACATACTGCATGGCTGGGACTTCTGAGCTCCTCTTTGTCAACATCGATGATGAAGAAAGAAACTCATTGAACTTGTTTGTTTAAGGGTACAGTTGTCATATATAGGTATATATGGGTATATTTATTATATATTAATAAGTATATATATATTAATTACATGTATAAGATTCCTAACTTTCAAACAATGCAACACATGAAAAACCTTGTGATTAATTTAGCATTTTTTTATTTTGTACACACACAGACTACGTTTCAGATCACTGAAAACGCACCTTTTGGAAAACTCTTTCCAAGGTGATTTTCAGAAACTCTGTTGAGGTGTTTATGTGTAGACGGGGAAAAGAAAAGAGTTTTCGACTTGTAAGTCACAGTGCGCCAGTTTTTCATCCATTTGGTGTCATTGTGTGACGCTGTCTACTCTCTTCTTTACAAGAGATTAGAGCAACGCAGACGTACACTACATGTCCAACTGGACTTTTTACATGTTTACACATACATGACACAGTTGCTCTCCCACTATGTTGACGAGCAGAGGCGCCTGAATGGACAACTTTGTAAATGAAATGGTCATTGCAGAAAAATGGAGAGAAGAACATCGTTTTTGACTTGGCATGCTCATGACAGCTGTAACAGGTCATTTTGCATTTTGACACTTAGCGTGTGTGGACGGGATTCTTTTTAAACGGAGGAGCAAAACCTCCGTTCTCAAAGATACCCGCCTATGTGTGGACTATAGGCCGGAATCTCAAGAGTGACTCTGACATGAATACAGACCGAAGCTGGACTCTGATGTTTTTAGCAGTGTTAGCTCAGAGCCATTGCTAAATTTTAAGCACAGCCATCTTCAGGTGACCATCAGTCACTTTGACTTAAGAGATTTGAAGCTTTGCAGTGTGGTGCTTTTGCTACTCTTTAAATACGCTCGATAGAGTAAGAGAGCTTTGGTATGATATTTATTGCACTAAAAGGTTTGTTCTCCGTTTCTTCTTCTTTTGTTTCAGGTTGTCAAAGATGCAGCAGAAGACCATAAGAGCCGGGACAAAAGGCAACTACAACACAACCCTCCAATTATCTTAGAGTGTGTGTTCGTGTGGTGTGTGTGTGTGTCGTGTGTGTGTGTGTGTGTGTGTGTGTGTGTGTGTGTGTGTGTGTGTGTGTGTGTGTGTGTGTGTGTGTGTGTGTGTGTGTGTGTGTGTGTGTGTGTGTGTGTGTGTGTGTGTGAGAGAGAGAGAGAGAAATGTAACATTCATGTGCCTTTAAAAGTGTATCTGTTGCAGACCCAAGACACAATCTGATTAACTGTATCTTTTTATGCAGTCGCTCACATTTTAAACGGATACGGGTCACAGTGACTCTTTTTATATACTGTTCTCATTACATTTTGGGGTCACTCAGCTTTTTTACACTTGGAGCCTTGTAAATTAATAATAAAGGTCCCTGATCTGCTTCAAATGCCTGGTCAGCTCTTAATATGTGTGGGCCTCGTGAATTATGCCTTATGTTGAATTATAAATAGAGTCGTTCCATACGGCTGTGTATGGAAATAGCTATCAATGTGACATACACACAGTCACAGGCTTGTTGTGACGTTCGCTGAGTGTCTCTCTTTAATGAGTCAGACTTTGGCAGCAGGCAGCCCTGTGCAGGGCCAGTCCCAGCGAGGAGAGCGGAACGAAGGATGGGAAAGAGGCTGATCTGCAGGGATGAGGGCCGGGAATAGAAGTGGTCAGATGGGGCAGTATTGATCTGCTGGAGGAGTCAGAAGATGAGCTGGTGGAGAGCGTAAGGTCTCACGTCACTGGAACACATTGTATAGATACTGTACATGCAGTATTGACAGACTGAGGCATTTCAAGAAGGTCAAACACAATGGTTAAGTTGTGGTGAACTCAAATGTTAGGAAAAAAACAAAGAGAAGGCATTAGTTTCAGGTGCAACCATGCAGGTGACAATTTATGACAATGTTTTAAAAACAGGAGCAGTGACACTTTGAAGACCCAGATTTAAAAAATGTCCGAAAAAATAAAACCTTTAAAACTGACAGGCTAAAACCTTTAAAACTGACAGTCTAAAACCTTTTAAAACTGACAGTCTAAAACCTTTAAAACTGACAGTCTAAAACCTTTTAAAACTGACAGTCTAAAACCTTTAAAACTGACAGTCTAAAACCTTTAAAACTGACAGTCTAAAACCTTTTAAAACTGACAGTCTAAAACCTTTAAAACTGACAGTCTAAAACCTTTTAAACTGACAGTCTAAAACCTTTTAAACTGACAGTCTAAAACCTTTTAAACTGACAGTCTAAAACCTTTTAAAACTGACAGTCTAAAACCTTTTAAACTGACAGGCTAAAACCTTTTAAAACTGACAGTCTAAAACCTTTAAAACTGACAGTCTAAAACCTTTAAAACTGACAGTCTAAAACCTTTTAAACTGACAGTCTAAAACCTTTTAAAACTGACAGGCTAAAACCTTTAAAACTGACAGTCTAAAACCTTTTAAAACTGACAGTCTAAAACCTTTTAAAACAGTCTTCACAACAAGCTAAGAGACCGGCTAAAATACAGAATTAAAAGTCCAACAATAAAATAAGGAGATGATTAAAAGTCCACCCTTAGAAAATAAACACAATAAACAAGGCAAATAAATCACTTAAAATTATTCACAACAAAGAAATAAATATACTTAAAAAGATGGAAATAAAACTTTATATCTGCCGTGCGACGTAGATTCTTTGTAAGTAATGCAAAGAGGATCTCGATTGACTGTAATTCGGCTTTTGAGCCCCCCCTGGTGTTAGCTGAGAAAAGAAAGAGCCATGTATACATCTGTACTCTGGGTTTACAAAGCCATGCACCCCAATGTGTTCTGAAGATGCATTGAGGGCTGAACACTCGGGCCACATACAAAGATGGACCAGGATGCTAATCCCCCATTGGTTTGGTTGTGTGTCGTGGACCGTCCACTCAAGTGACATCATCTGCGGTAGCAATGTTGAGAACTATGGACAACAATACGGCCTATCAGGAGAAAACCATGACAGCTTTGGCTTCAGGTTTAAGTCACATATTTATCTTGCTACTATTTTTTTCTTTTTTTACTGACTATGTTTTCATTTCAATTTTCTTTATTCATAATACACATTTTATTACCTAAGCCAAGCATGAATAGTTTTTTAACATGTATTTTTTTTAAATATATTTCTGGCATTTTCTATAATTTTTGCACTATTGAATAAGTACATAACAAATGTAGGTTGGAAATGCACTCACAGACTTTTGCAGAGTCACGATTTTAAAGTTTGTAGTCATTTTGAAACAATGGATATTGGATTTTAGCAGAGATTAACAGAAGTAGATTTCTCTTAATTACAATTTAACTGTTAAATTTGCCAGCTAAAAAAACCTCAGCTCAATGGTTTTTGAGGGCGACAATCTAGTTGATGATGTGTTCGGCAAACATAATGCTACCTTGGGTAGAATTAGCTGATGTGGTTAGTGTGTAAACTTTCCCATATCCCAAAGGAATCAGGACCAAGTTTTGTAAGCCTAACCCCCAATTCACATATACTCCGTGCGCACCGCGGTTTTATTCTGGACGGCGCACACTCATCCCCACTGCATCAGCTTCTGGAACTAATTATTCTGACCCAACTCCATTCATATAACCTTTATACCACTTGATGTTAAAAGTAACTTCTTTGTACAAATGATCTGTCACTCCAGTCTATAAGGAACTCAGAATGTGACAGCGTCTTCCTATTCTCTGATATCTTTAGTTCTAAGTTTTTCCATCTGCAATCCTTCAATCTCCCTTTTCACTCTCTGAGTTCTCTGAGGCCCGGAGCACATTGAAACTTGAGTGGACATCATTTCTTTTTTGGTTATTTAGAGATTGAAGACTCTTGACAGAGGGCAGCGACCCTGCTGTCCTTGTCTGACAACTCTGCCGCTGTGCTCTCAGCAGCTTTTTTCTACTCTCTGTTTTCTCCCTGTAACCTTTTTAACAAAGCTTGTTTTGGCTCACCCTCAACTTCCTGACTTCCTTATTTTTTTTCTTGATGGAGTTCAAATCTTTTCTCACTTTTATAACTTTGCAGTTCTTTTCCCTAAGTTAAAAAAGTTTCTTGCTGCTCCAGTCTTTGTAATTTACTGAAAATTGATTAGTTCCCTGAAGGTTCCTTTAATACTTTTATTGATTAAAATCAAGTGTTTAATGAATGTTAATCAAATGTGTTTTTTTTTTTTAAAGGTCACATATTATCCTCCTTTTAAACAAGTTTAAATAAGTCTAAAGCTCCCTAAAACATGTCTGTGAAGTTCCTTGTTCTAAATCCACTCTGATCCTGTATTTTATCATACCTATTAACCAACAAAACAGAGGTGATGGCCATGGCTGTCTGTAAATAAAAGAGGTGTTCATTTCTCTTTTACTTTAGTCAGCCAGCTCCAGAGATACTGAGGAATCTCTGCTGGTCTTTGAAAAGACACATCTATGAGGAGATGCAGGGGTTAGCTTAATGTCACATAAACAGCTGGTCAGGTGCTTTTCTGTATATTCATCTTTTCTTTAAAAACATCAATAGTGCTATTCAAAATGTAGAAGTATTTCATGATCAATGCAATTAGTTATTGAGTTATAGTCCATAGTTTTAATCAGAACACTTTTCTCTTCAATTCAAGTTATTTTTCTAAGTTAAGTCAAATACTGGAAATACATCAAAGATCAGTCTAACAAGTCAAGTATCAAAGATCAGAGACCCTCTAACTTTTAACTTTATTGTAAGAACCTGAAGTCAGGTTTTAGGTCAATCAAAACAACTTCAAAAATCAGAATAACTTTAAAGTCTTTATATGTGATTTTTCACTCTTAAATATAATAGAAATCAAGTATATCCTCTGAAAATAACTCTGTGAGTCATGACTGTCTACAATGGGTGTAACACCCGAGTCCCACTGTCTGTGATGTTTTCAGAGTTTTCAGAGTCCTATCTTCACTTTGTTTACATCGCCATGACGGCCGGCTGACTCCTCCCCTCGTGTATAAAAGTTGTTTAATTGAGGGACTAGAGAAAAGAAGAATAACATACTGTACTCACTGCTTAACTGTGTTTCTAGATCACGCTCATTTCAGGTAAATTTACATGCAGTGTGAAGATACCAGCATAATAAAGATCGCTAGCATTAGCATGCTAACACCACAATGCAGCGCGAGTTGTTTTGGTTTTATGTTGGTGCTCAAGGGCGACATCTACTGGATCAAAAAATCACATAAAGCCTTTAAGGCCAACCTCAACCCATTCAAACAATTTGTAAGAGAAGTCCCAAGCTCATCAAACCATGTTTTAATTTGTTCCAAGCGATTTCATTTCGCTCTCAAGTAACAGACACATATTCAATTGAAGTGCCAAGTCTTTGGACACTGGTTCAAGTCATGTCTCAAATTAGTTGAAGTGAGCCAAGTCCAGATCCCTCCAATGAAGGTATTTGTTTGTCAAGTCTGGATGAAGAATCAGCTTTTGATTTTTTTTAGACCTAAATCTGACCCACATCTGAATCTTAACTCTTAAATCTATTCTCCTGAACATGCAGACTTTTTCTCCTTGGTGAGATTAAACTGTTTGTTACATGGATCGATAAGTTCTCTGTTAGGCACAGTTATACAAACACCATCTCACATTTTGAGTATTTTAGCACAAAACACTGTCACAGACTGTTGTATGCTCTAAATCACAGGGTACAGATTTACTTTTGGTGTTGTAGTCCAAAACTATTTCCAATTCTCTCAGATGAATGAGCTCCAAGAGAATGAAGAGGCACAGTGCTTTCAGCTCCTTTTATCCCAGGGGTTTCCTCCAGCTGATGCTCACTACTTGGTTTAACCATCAACTTGTGTTTCATGTGGTCCTGAGCTTCCTGCGCTGAAAATCTCTGCAGATATAAAATATTAACAGGATATCTGTCTTTGTCTCCCTCCTGGAGCAGCTTCAGTGTAACTGGGACGCTTTACTCAGTGTGCCGCTGACCAAGATTAAAGGAGCATTCGTAAAGAAGCCTGGGCTCATATACAGGTAAACATGCATGTGTC